AAAAAAAAAAAAAAAAAAAAATCCTCAGTGAAAATCCATCAGCCTGAAGACAAAGAAAAAAAAATCCGTCAGCCTGAGGACAAAGACTTAACCCTTCACCCTGGCACTCTAAGCCTTCAAGATCTACTTGCTACCTACCTTTCTGGCTTTCTCTGCTGCCATTCTTGGGCCCAACTTTGCTTCCAGCCAGGCCAGACCGCTCAGTGATTTCCAACAGATAACCGTGTTCGTAGTCTCTGTGCTATGTTGTCCCACCAATTAGAATCCCGTTAAGTTTGCCTGTCCATAGTCCTCCAGGGAAAACCCACCCTTTGAATATATAATATTTTCCACATAGCAAGACTGACCACTGAGAGATCTACAGAAATGCTGGCCACGTCTCTGGAGGTCCTGAGCTTCTCGGATGCAAAGTTGCCAGCTGAAAGAGACACTGCTCCTGCTCAAAGGAATAGGATGCTTAATCAATAAGTTCATTAAATAAGAAAAGGCTAAATAATTGAAAATCTACTTGGGGAATCTATTTAACCTATACTCCCAGTGCCAGAATGAAATATGCTATGTAGGCACATAGATAAACAACTGCGACAATTTAAAAAACATTGACCAAACAATCCAAAAAAGTGTCTCAGCTAAAGTTAGATACTTAGAGTCATGGCTTGAGGGCAAGCCAAGAAAAACCAACATTGGTAAAATCTTTGGAAGATGTCCCAGATCTGGAGGGGTCCAGGAAGGACTGTGGAGAAGAGGGGTTCTCTGCATTCTGCTGCTTTTTTTTTTTTTAACGTTTATTTATTTTTGAGACAGAGAGAGACAGAGAATGAATGGGGGAGGGTCAGAGAGAGGGAGACACAGAATCTGAAGCAGGCTCCAGGCTCTGAGCTGTCAGCACGCGGGGCTCGAACCCATGGACCGCGAGATCATGACCTGAGCCGAAGTCGGCCGCCCAATCGACTGAGCCACCCAGGGGCCCCTTCTGCTGCTTTTTAAAGCGGATTCATTTTGTTCTAATTAAGGTTTGTTGAGTGCTTACCATGAACCAGACACTGTCCTCGACCTGCAACATGAATTATCGCTCTCAATCCTCACGCAGCCTGTATAGAAGGAGTTACTATTCAGCCTCATTAGACAGAGCCAGGATTCCAGGCCAGGTCTTTCTCCCTCCAGAAAGTTCACTCCACCCACCCCCAGCCCCTCATATATCTTCATGGGGACTCCAGGGACTTGGAGCTCTGTCCAGGACAACTTTGGCAAAGCCTACAAATATAAGAGTGTCACTCTTCAACCTTATCTTTCAAGAGCAGGCTGCCCGTCTGCAAAGCCTGCAGATTTCACCACCATACTAGGCACATGCGTGAGCTGTGATTCCTTTTTACTTATTCCCAGGGAGCATCTTTGCTTTCTCTGTCTTCTGAAAGCACTTCATTTGCTTTCTCTTAAAAGGGAAGCAAAGTCAAGATCATAGATTTACAGGAGCTTTCTGAATGCTAGTCCAGTTCAGGTAATTTAGATCCTGCTGTACCCATCTCCTCTCATTTAATGCTGTGTTTGCCCCTTCATGTTCCCTCTTTGGGAAGGTAGGATGAGAGTTTTAGGTCTCTTTTTTTTTTTTTTTTTCCAACGTTTATCTATTTTTGGGACAGAGAGAGACAGAGCATGAACGGGGGAGGGGCAGAGAGAGAGGGAGACACAGAATCGGAAACAGGCTCCAGGCTCTGAGCCATCAGCCCAGAGCCCGACGCGGGGCTCGAACTCCCGGACTGCGAGATCGTGACCTGGCTGAAGTCGGACGCCCAACCGACTGCGCCACCCAGGCGCCCCGAGTTTTAGGTCTCTTATAGGATAAAGTTCTGTCTTTGTTTTCTGCTGCCTGTTTAAAATAAAAATTTACAGGGGTCCTTCAGTGGCTCTGTCGGTTAAGCATCCAACTCTTGGTTTTGGCTCAGG